GGGGCGCTGATCCACGACATCTGCGGGGACTGGCTGAAGCCGAAGCCGGTGCCGGTCCTCCTGGGGAGTTTGCTGAAGAGGAAGATGCTACCCAAGGCTGCCCTGCTGGTCACCACGCGGTCCTGGGCCCTGAGGGACCTCCGGCCCCTGATGGAGCAGCCCATCTACATAAGGGTGGAGGGGTTCCTGGAGGAGGACAGGAGGGCCTATTTCCTGAGACACTTTGGAGAGGAGGACCAAGCCACGCGTGCCTTTGAGCTGATGAGAAGCAACGCGGCCCTGTTCCAGCTGGGCTCGGCGCCCGCGGTGTGCTGGATGGTGTGCACGAGTCTGAAGCTGCAGATGGAGAACGGGGAGGACCCGGCCCCCACCTGCCACACCCGCACGGGGCTGTTCCTGCACTTTCTCTGCAGCCGCTTCCCAAAAGGTGCCGAGCTCGGGCGCACGCTGCGGGCGCTGAGCCTCCTGGCTGCGCAGGGCCTGTGGGCGCAGATGTCCGTGTTCCACGCAGAGGACCTGGAGAGCCTCCGGGTGCAGGAGTCCGACCTCCGCCCGTTCCTGGACAGAGGCATCCTCCGCCGGGATAGAGACTCCAAAGACTGCTACTCGTTCCTGCACCTCAGCTTCCAGCAGTTTTTCACTGCGCTGTTCTACGCCCTGGAGAAGGAGGAGGAGGAGGACGGCCACGCCTGGGACATTGGGGATGTGCAGAAGCTGCTTTCTGGAGAAGAACGACTCCAGAACCCTGACCTGATCCAAGCAGGACACTTCTTATTCGGCCTCGCCAACGAGAAGAGAGCCACAGAGTTGGAGACCACTTTTGGCTGCCTGATGTCACGGGAGATCAAACAGGAATTACTGCGGTGCGACATCATTTGTGACGAGGACAGATACTCAACCTTGACGGACCTGAAGGAGGTCTTACACTGTCTGTACGAGTCTCAGGAGGAGGAGCTGGTGAAGGGGGTGATGGCCCCGTTGAGAGAAATATCCCTGCACTTAAGTGCCACAGACATTGTGACCTCTTCGTTCTGCCTCAAGCATTGTCGAAGTTTGGAGAAAATGTCACTGCAGGTGATAAAGGCAAAGCTCCCGGAGAATGTCACTGCCTCTGAATCAGATGCTGAGGTTGAGAGGTAAGAACCGTTTCACTCTACTGGTCATTCCATCTTGAGCCTCATCCAAGGGTCCCTTAGGAAGAGGCCAGAGCTTCCTATGACTGTGGCTTGGAGTCAGGAATTCCCTCTTGTTGGACTTCCTTTTTTGTTGTTGTTTTGAGAAGAATTCTTGCTCTGTTGCCCAGGCTGGAGTTGGAGTGCAGTGGTGCGATCTCAGCTCACTGCAACCTCCACCTCCCAAGCAATCCTCCCACCTCAACTACTGAGTAGCCAGAATTGCAGGCATGCATCATCATGCCTGGCTAATTTTTATATTTTTAGAAGAGATGGGGTCTCACCATGTTGCCCAAGCCACTCTTGAACTCTGGACCTCAAATAATCCACCTGCTTCGGCCTCTCAAAGTGCTGTGATTATAGGTGCAAGCCATCACCCACAGCCTTTTTTTTTTTTTAGGTTTAAGGCTGGACTTAAACTCTTGGGCTCAAGCAATCCTTCTGCCTTAGCCTCCAGAATAGCTGGAACTAGAGGTGTGCACTGCCGTACTTGATGCCAATATACATTTTTTTTTTTTTTTGAGACAGAGTCTTGCTCTGTCATCCAGGCTGGAGTGCAGTGACGCAGTCTTGGTTCACTGCAACTTCACCTCCCAGGTTCAAGCGATTCTCCTACCTCAGCCTCCCGGGTAGCTGGGACTACAGGTGTGCGCCACCATGCTTAGCTAACTATATTTTTATTTGAGATGGAGTTTAACTATGTTGGCCAGGCTGGTCTCGAACTCCTGGCCTCAAATGATCTACCCACCTTGGCCTCCCAGAGTGCTGGAATTAGAGGAGCGAGGCAGCGCCCGGCCTGTTGCTGGACTTTATTCCTGCTTCACATTCAGGGTGAAAGGTACAATGTTGTGAATAGGAATAGAAGCTTTGGAGTCAGACCTTGTTTCGAGACCTAACTCCTCTTTAGGTGGGCAATTGTTGATAATGGCTCAACCTGTTTCCCTGCTTCTGTGTGTCAGTTGTGTAAACTTCAGGAGATCTATAATGTGACTGTGACTGTCCCCTTTTTTTGGCACGACCGCTGGAAGGGCATTAAAGTTTGTACTTAGAGGATGATCTCCTAAAACCAGAGATTTTAGTCTCTCTCTCTTTTTTTTTTTTTTTTTTTGAGACAGTCTTGCTCTGTTGCCAGGCTGGAGTGCAGTGGCACAATCTCGACTCACCACAACCTCCACCTCCTGGGTTCAAGTGATTCTCCTGCCTCAGCCTCCTGAGTAGCTGGGACTACAGGCACGTGCCACCATGCCCAGCTAATTTTATATTTTAGAAAGACAGGGTTTCACCATGTTGTCCAGGATGGTGTTGCTCTCTTGACATCGTGATCCACCCACCTCAGCCTCCCAAAGTGCTGGGATTAAAGGAGTGAGCCACGATGCCCGGCTAACCTAGTCTTAAAACAGCAAGGGGCTCTAGAGCTAACAAAATTTAAGTTTCGACTTCGTTTGGGGTTGTGGGTGTGGGAGCAGAGTCTTGTTCTGTCATCCAGGCTGGAGTGCAGTGGCACAATCTCGACTCACTGCAACCTCTGCCTCTGAGTTCAAGCAATTCTGCTGCCTCACCCTCCCGTGTAGCTGGGACTACAGGCACACACCACCAAGCCCAGCTAATTTCTTTTTCTTTTTCTTTTTGAGATGGAGTTTCACTTTTTTGCCTAGGTTGGAGTGAAGTGGCACGATCTCAGCTCACTGCAACCTACCCCTCCACCCCCCACCTCCCCTGCAGTTTAATGATTGTCCTGCCTCAGCCTCCCTAGTACCAGGGATTGCAGGCACCCACCATCATGCCCAGCTAATTTTCATATTTTTAGTAGAGACAGCGTTTTTCCATGTTGGCCAGGCTGGTCTCCAACTCTTGACCTCAGGTGACCTACATGCCTTAGACTCCCAAAGTACTAGGATTACAGGTGTGAGCCCCCATACCCACACTGTATTCTCAATCTTTTATCAATGATATGTTTAGCATTTTAACTTATTTTTATCCTCTATTGGATTTTTGTGTAAAAGGATAATTTCGGCCAGGCACAGTGGCTCACACCTGTAATCCCAGCACTTTGGGAGGCCGAGACAATGGACAGATCACCTGAGGTCAAGAGTTCAAGACCACCCTGACCGACATAGAGAAACCCCTCTATTAAAAATACAAAATTAGCCGGGGCCAGACATGGTGGCTCACACCTGTAATCCTAGCACTTTGGGAGGCCAAGGCAGGCAGATCACAAGGACAAGAGATCAAGACCATCCTGGCCAATATGGTAAAACCCCGTCTCTACTAAAAATACAAAAATTAACCAGGCGTGGTGGCAGGCACTTGTAGTCCCAGCTACTCAGGAGGATGAGGCAGGAGAATTGCTTGAACCCAGGGGCAGAGGCTGCAGTGAATGGAGATCGCACCACTGCACTCCAGCCTGGTGACAGAGCAAGACTCCATCTAATAAAATAATAATAATAATTAGCCGGGCATGGTGTTATGTGCCTATAATCCCAGCTACTTGGGAGGCTGAGGCAGGAGAATCACTTGAACTGGGAGATGGAGGTTGCGGTGAGCCAAGATCGCACCATTGCACTTCAGCCTGGGCAACAAGAATGAAACTCCATCTCAAAAAAAAAAAAAAAGAAAGAGAAAAAAAAAAGAAAGAAAGAGAAAAAAAGAGTAAAACTTCTTTCTCCTGTGATGTGTCTTGGGTGTTGAATTGTCTGATAGTGGTGCTAAACGATTAAATGGTCCAGCTTTCAATTATGCTTATTTATTAGGGGTATATGCCCAGAGAAACCCTAAACACTTTGGCCATGATGGATGCATGCACGTTTGGTGTAACCCCCTTCTTCTTTTCCCTATAGATCCCAGGATGATCAACACATGCTTCCTTTCTGGACAGATCTTTGCTCCGTATTTGGCACAAACAAGGATCTCATCATTCTAGAAGTCAATAATAGCTTTCTTAGTGCCTCGCTGTTAAGGATCCTGTGTGAACAAATAGCTTCTGACACCTGTCATCTCCAGAGAGTGGTGTAAGTAGAAACGAATTCATGAACTAAAATCCTTAGGATGTGAAAGTTTTGCATTTTTAATATTGGAGCAATATTCAAATTCCTGTCCTAGACTCTAAGTGCTCAAGACACAAGGAATTGAGAGAGTCCCACCACCCTTAAATTTGTCTTGTGTGATAATCATATAAAGTAACTTTAGGGGCAGGGCACAGTGGCTCACACCTGTAATCTCAGCACTTTGGGAGGCTGAGGCGGACAGATAACTTGACATCAGGAGTTCAAGACCAGCCTGGCCAACATGGTGAAACCCTGTCTCTACTTAAAAAAAAAAAAAAAAAGCCAGCTGTGGTGGCAGGTGCCTGTAATCCCAGCTACTTGGGAGGTTGAGGGTTTAGGCAGGAGAATTACTTGAACCCGGGAGGCAGAAGTTGCAGTGAGCTGAGATCACGCCACTGCATTCCAGCCTGAGCAAATGGACTCCATCTCAAAAAATAAAAAAAAAAATTAAAAGGGGCTCACGCCTGTAATTCCAGCACTTTGGTAAGTCGAGGCCAGGGGAATCACTTGAGGTCAGGAGTTCAAGACTAGCCTGGCCAAGATGGCAAAACCCCATCTCTACTAAAAATATAAAAATTAGCTGGGCAAGGTGGCAGGCACCTGTAATCCCAGGAACGTTTGAGGCTGAGGCAGGAGAATCACTTGAATCAGGGAGATGAAGGTTGCAGTGAGCCGAGATCATGCCACTGCACTCCTGCCTGGGTGACTGTGAAATTCTATCTCAAAAGAGAAGAAAAAATCTGTAAAGATGGACACAAATTTAAACATGGAAAAAACGTTTCTGAAGTTTAAATACATTGAGCTCCTCATTTCTATTTAAGTACAAAAGAATTACAGACACTCAACATTTCACTTTTTTTTTTTTTTTTTTTCCTAGGATCAAAAACATTTCCCCAGCTGATGCTTATCGGAACCTCTGCCTAGCTCTTCAAGGTCACAAGACTGTAACACATCTAAGACTTCGATGCAGTACCCAGAACGATATGCTTCCTGCACTGTGTGAGGTCCTGAGGCACCCAAAATGTAACCTGCAGTATCTTGGGTATACCTCTTCATCACTAAAATCCTTCATCATACCAACAGCTACCATAGCTTATACGGCAATTTTGTGTAAACTAGGAAAAGTTGGTGACTGACTGGAAACAGTACTAACGGCAGATGGCCCAGGATACAGCATGGGCTGAATTTGAGTTTCCACTTGCCTTGAGCAGTGAACAACCTGGACAACCATACGTGAGGACCCTGAGTCCAGAGAAACTCCCAGAATCATCTTTACCTTTTATTTTATTTTATTTTTTGAAAAGAAAGGAGTCTTGCTCTGTTGTCCAGGCTGGAATGCAGTGGCGTGATCTCAACTCACTGAAACCTCTGCCTCCCATGTTCAAGGAATTCTCCTGCCTCAGCCTCCCAAGTAGCTGAGATTACAGGTGCCTACCACAACACCCGGCTAACTTGTGCTTTTTTTTTTTTCTTTTGAGGCAGAATCTTGGTCTGTCACCAGGCTGGAATGTGGTAGTGCAAACTTGGCTCGCTGCAAACTCTGCCTCCTGGGTTCAAGTAATTCTCCTGTCTCAGCCTTCTGAGTGCCTGGGACTACAGATAGGTGCCAACATGCCCACCTAATTTTTGTATTTTTAGTAGAGATGGACTTTCACCATGTTGGCCAGGCTGATCTCGAACTCCCGACCTCCAGTGACCCACGCGCCTTGGCCTTCCAAAGTGCTGGCATTACCAAGGTGTGAGCCACTGCGCCTGGCCGATTTTTGTATTTTTAGTAGAGACAGGGTTTGACCATGTTGGTCAGTCTGGTCTCAAACTCCTGACCTCAAGTGATCTGTTCACCTCAGCCTTACAAAGTGCTGGGATTATAAACGTGGCCACCCCACCTGACTAATTTTTGTATTTTTAGTAGAAATGGGGTTTCATCATGTTAGCCAGGCTGGTGTTAAACTCTTGGCCTTGTGATCCACCTGCCTTGGCCTCCCAAAGTGCTGACTGAGATTACAAGCGTGAGTCACCATGCCCAGCCACTAATTTCTTAAGGAACAAATTGATATCCAAAATGGGAAGAGAGTCTCCATACAAGTTCAGTGTTGTTACGGGGTTTTTTTTTTTTTTTTGGAAGCTATTAACACGCTACGTTCCAATTTCCTACTGTTAACGATTTAAGCTCTAAAAGAAAAAAGCGGGCCAGGCACAGTGGTTCACGCCTGTAATCCCAACACTTTGGGAGGCTAAGACAAGGAGATCATGAGGTCGAGATCAAGACCTTCCTGACCAACCCCATCTCTACTAAAAATACAAAAATTTGCCTGGTGTGGTGGTGGGCACCTGTAGTCCCCGCTACTTGGGAGGCTGAGGTAGGAGAATCGCTGGAACTCGGGAGGCGGAGGTTGCAGTGAGCCAAGATCATGCCATTGCACTCTGGCCTGGTGACAGAGTGAGACTCCATCTCAAAGAAAAAAATTAAAATTAAAGAAAAAAGTGGTTTTTAGCTGAATTCTAGTGATTTTTAGCTATGTGGCAGGTATTCCACTTGGCAATTCTTGTGGATTATGAACTTCGATGCTTAAAATGGGAGTATGACTCATTTCTAATTTAAAGCCGAAAGAAATGAGGGTAATTAGACCATGTTTTCATATATAAAAATAAAACCAAGATATACATTTTTTTAAAAACCTGACTCTGGAGACCATAAGGATTTCTAAACATTCCAGCGAGGTTCCTTTTGCCCACAGGAGGCTTTATGAATAGAAGATAGTGTCGTGTTCTATGACGTGGTCGGTTGACTGGATTTCTGAGTGTTTCTCAGCCTGTGGGCCCCAGAGCAAGAGTAGCCGCATCACCTGGAAACTTGGCAAAATGCAGATTCTTGGGTCCTATCCCACCTTCTCTGAATCATGGGATATGGCCTATGAATTTGTTCTAACACATTTTCTGGATGAACACAGAGCACCTTGAAACGTAGGTTAGTGGGGCCAGGCGTGGTGGCTCATGCCTAAATCCCAGTACTTTGGGAGGCTGAGGCTGGCATATCATTTGAAGTCAGGAGTTTGAGACCAGCCTGGCCAACATGGTAAAACCCCGTCTGTACTAAAAATACAAAAATTTATCCGGGCAAGATGGCACACACCTGTAGTCCCAGATACTCAGTGGCTGAGGCGGGAGAATTGCTTGAAACCAGAAGGTAGAGGTTACTGTGAGCTGAGGTTGCATCACTGCACTGCAGCCTGGGCAACAGAGCATGACTCTTTCAGGAAACAATGAAACATAGGTTAGTGGACTCTGCATCAAAGTTTTTGTTACATTGACTGAGGTTCTGTATTTCTAGCTGATTCCTGGGTGATCCTGATGCTGCTGGTCCGGGAACCACTCTTTGACAACCACTGATCCAGATCATTCAAGTCAGGGTGTAACATAACCAGTGAGATGGAAACCAAAGACGGTTCCCTGGCATTTAGATTCTCAGGAATGACTTGTCCCCATTTCTCCCACAGGTTGGTGTCTTGTTCCGCCACCACTCAGCAGTGGGCTGATCTCTCCTTGGCCCTTAAAGTCAACCAGTCCCTGACGTGCGTAAACCTCTCCAACAGTGAGCTCCTGGATGAGGGTGCCAAGTTGCTGTACACAACTTTGAAACACCCAAAGTGCCTCCTGCAGAGGTTGTCGTAAGTCTCTTTTCTCTTCAGAGCAGCTGTGGTTTCCAACTGGGGCCGTAGATGAGAAACGGTCATGGCTGACTTGGCTGTGTGGAACCTCTCGCTGATAGGAACACCTGTTCCCATGTTGAGATCCGGACAGATGGCTTCTCAGTCTTGTTCTCTCATTCCTATTCCTTCAGATGATCACCAGGGCATGAGAGAGGGTGGAGAGTTCACAAGAAGGGCTTTGGGATGCTAGCATTTGGAGGCAGCCAAGAAGGCTGAAATTGGAAGTGTTCTGACCGTGTTGCCACTTGTGATTCTTTTGTTCTAACACAGGTTGGAAAACTGTCACCTCACAGAAGCCATTTGCAAGGACCTGGCTGCCGTTTTGGTTGTCAGCCGGGAGCTGATGCACCTGTGCTTGGCTGAGAACCCCCTCAGTGATACGGGGGTGAAGTTTCTGTGTGAGGGCTTGAGTTACCCTGAGTGTAAACTACAGACCCTGGTGTAAGTCCCTCAGTCCCTGCTGACTGCCTGTGTGCGTGGGTGTACATGCATACCCGCCCACACACACACTGGGCTCGAGTAGGGTGTTTCTAAGCATACTCAATTTCTCTCAATGCCCCAAGCATGCTGCTAATGGTGGTAACTGGTGAGACCTGGGGAGATGATGATACGAAATGTATAAGTAGAAGTAGTATAAAAAAAAAAAAAAGAAAAAAAGAAGAAAAAATGAAAATAAAAAAAGTAGTAATATTCTATAGGGATTTGGAGGATGTAGCTGGTTTTCAGTGTTCTTTTTTTTTTCTCTTTTTGCATGTATATATTTTAGACATGCGGGTCTCACCATGTTGCCTAGGCTGGTCTCGAACTCCTGAGCTCAAGCGATCTGCCCATCTTGGCCTCCCAAAATGCTAGGATTACAGGCATGAGCCATTGTACCCCATGCTGTTTTTTCTCTTAATCTGTGTGCTTAGAACTATAGCCGTATAACATAAATTACATGTAATTGGTTGTAGATGGAAGCTATTTTCTCTTTTTTTTTTTTTTTTTTTTTAATGAACGATTTGCAAATCAGGCAGCCATCTGAGCCAGTGTAGGCTGACTCTCTGTGGAAGCTGTTGGAAGCTACATGCTCAATATAAACCTCCCATTAATACTAAAATCATAGAACAGGTAGCTGGGTGCAGTGGCTCAAGTCTGTAATCCCAGCACTTTGGGAGGCCGAGGCAGGCAGATCCCTTGAGGACAGAAGTTCGAGACCAGCCTGGCTAACACAGTGAAACCCCGTCTCTACTAAAAATATAAAAATTAGCAGGGCGGAGTGGTATATGTCTTTAATCTCAGTTACTCAGAAAGCTGAGTCAGGAGAATCACTTGAACCCAGAAGGTAGAGGTTGCAGTGAGCTGAGATGGCACCTGGGTGACAGAACAAGACTGTCTCAAAAAAAAAAAAAAACTGTGTCTGCACTGATGATTTCTGTTCAGAGACTTTTTTTTTTTTTTTTGAGATAGAGTTTTGGAGTTTTGCTCTTATTGTCCAGGCTGGAGTGCAAAGGCGCGATCTTGGCTCACCACAACCTCTGCCTCCCAGGTTCAAGCAATTCTCCTGCCTCAGCCCCCCGAGTAGCTGGGATTGCAGATGTGTACCATCATGCCCGGCTAATTTTGTATCTTTAGTAGAGATGGGGTTTCTCCATGTTGGTCAGGCTGGTCTCAAACTCCTGACCTCAAGGGATCCACCCACCCCAGCTTCCCAAAGTGCTGGGATTAGAGGCGTGAGTCACTGTGCCCTGCTGAGAATCGTTTTTACTTCTCTGACTTCTGTTGCTGCCTGCACTCCTTGGCTTGTGGCCCTTCCTTCAACTTCAGCAGCATAGCATATTCCAACATTGCTCTGGCTCCCTTGTCATGTCACCTCCTGCTGGCTTCGACTCTCGGCTCCCTCTTATCAGGATCCCTGTGATTGCATTGGACCTACTCAAATAAACCAGGACAATATCCCCATCTTAAGATTCTCAGTCACATCTCAGCCAGGTGTGGTGGCTCACCCCTGCAATCCTAGCACTTCAGGAAGCTGAGGCGGGCAGATCACCTGAGGTCGGGAGTTTGAGACCACCCTGACCAACATGGAGAAAATTCATCCCTACTAAAAATACAAAAACGTGATGAAACTCCATCTCTACTAAAAATACAAAAATAGCTGTGTGCGTTGGCGCATGCCTGTAATCCCAGCTACTTGGGAGGCTGAGGCAGGAGAATCGCTTGAACCAAGGAGATGGAGGTTGCAGTGAGCCGAGATTGTGCCATCACACTCCAGCCTGGGTTAAAAGAACAAAACTCCATCTCAAAAAAAAAAAAAAAAAAAAAAAAGATTCTGAGTCACATCTAGGGGGTCCCTGTAGCTGGCACGTGCCAGAAGTTAGGACTTAGACATCTTGGGGGAGGCCATTCTTCTGTCCACCACCCCACCCCATGATTCCATTTCCATGTCACCGTTGTCTCGAAGTGTGTCTGAAACCCATGGCTCAGAGTTGAAGGTGCATCACACCAGCGAGAACTAACAGGTTTGGGTTTTTTTCTTCGTGTGGTTGGCTTCTAGGCTGTGGAACTGTGACATAACTAGCAAAGGCTGCTGTCACCTCGCAAAGCTTCTCCACGAAAAATCAAGCCTAATGAACTTGGATCTGGGGCAGAATGACATAGGAGTTCCTGGAGTGCAGGGCCTATGTGAGGCTTTGAAGAAACCACTGTGTAACTTGAAACGTTTGTGGTGAGTTAGCTTATAAGTTCAACTTACGGCTTTTATACCTTATTTTTTATTTTATTTTTTTTTTTGAGACGGAGTTTCGCTCTTGTTACCCAGGCTGAAGTGCAATGGCGCGATCTCGGCTCACCGCAACCTCCGCCTCCTGGGTTCAGGCAATTCTCCTGCCTCAGCCTCCTGAGTAGCTGGGATTACAGGCATGCGCCACCATGCCCAGCTAATTTTTTGTATTTTTAGTAGAGACGGGGTGTCACCGTGTTGACCAGGATGGTCTCGATCTCTTGACCTCGTGATCCACCCGCCTCGGCCTCCCAAAGTGCTGGGATTACAGGCGTGAGCCACTGCGCCCGGCCTTTTATACCTTATTGAATCTGTGTCTAACGTAAAACAATCAGTGAAGCAGACTTCCGGTGATGTAACTGAGAGGCCAGTCGAGCATTCACTAGGATGGCTAAAGAAGTAAGTTCTAGTCTGTGTCATGCAAAGACCAGCTGTGAAATTTTGAGGATACAATGCCTCAAGCCATTCAGAGAGGTAGGAATTGGGCCGGGCGCGGTGGCTCACACCTGTAATCCCAGCACTCTGAGAGGCCGAAGCAGGTGGATCACTTGAGGTCAGGAGTTCGAGATTAGCCTGGAAAACATGGTGAAACCCCATCTCTACTAAAAATACAAAATTTAGCCTGGCATGGTAATCCCAGCTGCTCAGGAGGCTGAGGCAGCAGAATCACTTAAACCCAGGAGGCGGAGGTTGCAGTAAGCTGAGATCACATCATTGCACTCCAGCCTGGGTGACAAGAGCAAGACTCCCTCTCAGAAAAAAAGAGGTAGGAATTGGACATCATGCCAGAAAATGCTGGCTATATCTGCAGGTGAATAGTCTCAACCCGGCTGCTGTACAAATCCCATGTGAGTTAGGTACAATCAAATGCACTTGAACCTGAAATCCTCCCTGGGAGGGAATCTTCATTTGATTGCAGTTGGGTGAAGTGGCTCATGCCTGTAATCCCAGCATTTTGGGCATCCAAGGCGGGCAGATTGCTTGAGGCCAACAGTTTAAAAACAGCCTGGCCAGTACAATGCAAACCCTGTCTCTACTAAAAGTACAAAAATTAGCTGGGCATGGCTGTGTATGTCTGTGCTCTCAGCTACTCAGGAGGCTGAGGTGGGAGAATCACTTGAGCCTGGGAGGAAGAAGTTACAGTGAACTGAGATCACATCACTTCACTGAAGCCTCGATGACAGAGTGAGATCCTGTCTCAAAAAAAAAAAAAAAAAAAAAAAAGGCACCTTTTTAATCACTCACTGACACGGGCAGAAGGGCAAAAAGTTTGATTTGCAGGATGACCCAGGAGTTCGAGGCTGCAGTGAGCCGAGATGGTGCTACCACACTCCAGCCTGGGCAACAGAGTGAGACCTTGTCTCAAAAGAGAAAAAAAGTGGCTGGGCACGGTAGCTCACACTTGTAACCCCAGCACTTGGGAGGCTGAGGTAGGTGGATCACCTGAGATCAGGCGTTCAAGACCAGCCTGGCCAACATGGTGAAACCACGTCTCTATTAAAAACACAAAAATTGGCCGGGCGCGGTGGCTCAAGCCTGTAATCCCAGCACTTTGGGAGGCCGAGGCGGGTGGATCACGAGGTCAAGAGATCGAGACCATCCTGGTCAACATGGTGAAACCCCGTCTCTACTAAAAATACAAAAAATTAGCTGGGCATGGTGGCGTGTGCTTGTAATCCCAGCTACTCAGGTGGCTGAGGCAGGAGAATTGCCTGAACCCAGGAGGCAGAGGTTGCGGTGAGCCGAGATTGCGCCATTGCACTCCAGCCTGCCTAACAAGATAACAAGAGCGAAACTCCGACTCAAAAAAAAAAAAAAATAAAAAAACACAAAAATTAGCCAGGCGTGGTGGCACATAGCCGTCATCTCGTCTATTTTGGAGACTGAGGCACGAGAATGGCTTGAATCTGGGAGGCCGAGGTTGCAGTGACCCAAGATCACACCATAGCACTCAGGCCTTGTTGAAAGAGTGAGACTCCGTCTCAAAAGAGAGTGACTTATAAGATGGAAGTTACTTGATATTTAATCTCTCTGCTCGAAACCCTCAGCGCTTCCGTGTGTCAGTCCAAGTAAAACTCTGTATTTACAGTGGCCTCAGGTCACCTCTTCCCTGTGTCCTCATCCCTGCAGTCCTCCCTGGCTCACTCTCATGCTGCTGCCTGGATGTTCTGTTTTACGTGTCAATCACATCAACCCCAGGGCCTTTGCACAAGCTATTTCTCTGCCTGGAGAACCCCCAAACTCTATGACTCAGCCTCTTTACCCTGTCACCTCCAACCATTGTAGCTGGAACACCCAGCTACTCCCTGTACGCCTTGCCTTTAAGCCCTCTGACACTCCATATTTTCCTGTTAGATGAGTCTTGAGGGCAGAGGTTTTTTGTTTTTGTTTTTGTATTATATTTTTTTATTAATTTTTTTTTTAAATTTTTTAGCCAAGAGACTATCAGTCCATGTTGTGGTTTTTTTTGAGACAGAGTTTTGCTCTGGTCGCCCAGGCAGGAGTGCAATGACACTATCTCTGCTCACTGCAAACCCCACCTCCCAGGTTTAAGCTATTCTCCTGCTTCAGCCTCCCAAGTAGCTGGGACTATAGGCACGCACCACCACACCTGGTTAACTTTGTATTTTTAGTAGAGATGGGGTTTCTCCATGTTGCCTGTGCTGGCCTCGAACCCCTGACCTCAGGTGATACACCTACCTCAGCCTCCCAAAGTGCTGAGACGCGCCTGGCTGAGACTTCTGTTGCTCATGCAGATCCCCAACACCCAAGGGTGCACTTGGCTCACAGGAGGGTGCTGGTCAGCAGTGGCTGAACGAACCTGTTGATTTCTGTCTTTCACCAGGTTGTGGGGATGTTCCATCCCTCCGGCCAGTTGTGAGAACCTCTCCTATGTCCTCAGCTGCAACCAGACCCTCATCACTCTGGACCTGGGCCAGAATCCCTTAGGGTATAGTGGAGTAAAGTTGCTGTTTGAAACCTTGACACATGCAAATGGCACCCTCCAGACACTCAGGTACGACCCATGTACTCCCCCCTCAGGTTTTCTCCGGGGTAGTAGGTTTAGGGGACGTATAATCCAGGAATCTGCTGTAGGAGGCTGATCCAGCTCTCAGCCGGTGGTGTCTGTCCACCCGGTGAGTCTCCCATAGATTCCTTCTGCTTTGTCAGGTAAGATGGCTTAAAGAATGAAACTCATACTCAGTCGGGATCCAAGAAGATAGATTTATGGCTTTAGTGAGAGGGAGGACCATAGTCAGCCATTGTCTCCTGAGAGACACCAAATCACAGATCTCAAATGGTGCTTGTGGAAAGAGCTCTGTCAGTGTCAGCCTTGGAAGTGTGTTCTCTGGATTGAGTCTGCTGTCAAATGACAGGAGTCTGGGACATAGATGCTGTCACCAGTTACCTGCTGTCCTTTTTTCTTTTGTTTTGTTTTGAGATGCAGTTTTGTTCTTGTTGCCCAGGCTGGAGTGCAATGGCATGGTCTCAGCTCACTGCAACCTCCGCCTCCCAGGTTCAAGCGATTCTCCTGCCTCAGCCTCTCGAGTAGCTGGGATTACAGGTGGCTGCCACCACACCTGGCTGATTTCTGTATTTTTAGTAGAGACAGGGTTTTAACATGTTGGCTAGGCTGGTCTCGCACTCCTGACCTCAGGTGATCTACCTGCTTCAGCCTCCCAAAGTGCTGGGATTACAGGTGTGAGCCACCATGACCAGCCCTTTTTTTTTTTTTTTTTTTTTTTTTTTTTTTTTTAAAGGCAAGAACTCACTATGTCCCCTTAGGCTGGAGTCCAGCAGCACAATGACAGCTAGCTGCAGGCTCACCCCACCTCCTGGGCTCAAGCAGTCCTCCTGCCTCAGTCCCGGAGTAGCTAGGTTTATCCTGAGCCATTGCACCCAGCCATGGCTGCTGTCCATCTGTTCATGAGAGCCAGTTATCATTGGGTTGTGTTTGTTTGTTTGTTTGATTTTTTTTGGCAAGGTGGGGAGGCTTGAGAAGGAGTCTTGCTTTGTTGCCCAGGCTGGAGTGCAGTGGTGTGATACCTCATCTAACTGCCACCTCTGCCTCCCAGGTTCTCGTGCCTCAGCCTCCCAAGATGGTATATTACAGGCATATACCATCAAATCCAGCTAATTTTTGTATTTTTAGTAGTGACAGGGTTTTGCCATGTTGGCCAGCCTGGTCTTCAACTGCTGACCTCAGGTGATCCACCTGCCTTGGCATCCCAAAGTTCTGGGATTACAGGCATGAGCCACCGCACCCGGCCTGGGTTGTATTTGGATACCATGGCATCAGAGAACCAAGAGCCATTTCCTAGGAGTGTGGGAACTTTTAGAAATCCTCAAAAGCAACACAGTCTACTGCTGGCTTAAAATAATCTTTATGTAGAAGAAATACAGATTACTTGTTTACTTAATATGAATCTCAGCCTAAGATACTTTGTAAGTGAAAAGGCATATGGACACTAAGGATTTTATTAAGCTTTAAGTTTTTCTATTTTTATTTTTTATTTATTTATTTTTTGGAAATGAAGTCTTGCTCTGTCACCAGGCTGGAGGGCAGTGGCACAATCTCAGCCCACTGCAACCTTTGCCTCCCGGTTCAAGTGATTCTTCCACCTCAGCCTCCCAAGTCACTGGGACTACAAGCACGTACCACCATGGCTGGCTAATTTTTTGTATTTTTAATAGAGATGGGATTTCACCATGTTGGCCAGGATGGTCTTGATCTCTTGACCTCATGATCCACCTGCCTCGGGCTGCCAAAGTGTTGGGATTACAGGCATCAGCCACCACACCAGCTATTTTTATTTATTTTTGAGACAGAGTTTGACTCTTGTTGCCCAGGCTGGAGTGCAATGGCAAAATCTCAGGCACCCGCCACCATGCCCAGCTAATTTTTTGTATTTTTGTAGAGACAGATTTCACCATGTTGGCCAGGCTGGTCTCGAACTCCTGACCTCGTGATCTGCCAGCCTCAGCCTCCCAAAGTGCTGGGGTTACAGGTGTGAGCCACCGCACCCAGCCATACTCTCACATTATTTTAGCTGCAGACAGGGTACCCACTCAAGCCAGTATGTGGTTGGATAGTTGTACTGAGAATCTCGAACGACAAAACTGATACTAAAAGTCAAAACTATAGTCCTAATAAGTATGACTACTAATATCTTCTGGTCTTTTAATTTTAAACATATTTTGCCTTAATGATTCCTTCTTCCTGTCCTGCCTCACATTTCCACATACATATAGCTAAATATGGCTACCACATAATGAGGCTGTCATCACAGGCCGATAAATGGTGGTGGTAGGCTGGTATCTTGTAGCCAAGCTGGGTGCAGAGGACAAAAGCTGGTCTGGCTGGCTTGGTTCAAGGTATGCATCTCCTCTGTTGAATTGGTACTCCTGGGTCTACCGAGTAGAAGTTGCCAAAATGGGTAATGGAGCAGGTAGGTAGGTATTAGAGCGATAGCCCAGCCATACTCAGCAATTCCATTTCTCCGTGTATGCTAATCAACAACCATCTAAAACTGCACAGTGGCTTTATACCATTACAAGGTTAATCTGATGTTATCTTCTTCTCTATCAGATCAACATGGTTGGGAACGAGAAGAAAGAGGAATGAACAAAAGGATTAAAAAGGGAAATGAAAGTCTTTAATTGTATATTTATTTTTGAGACAAGGTCTCATTCTGTTGCTCAGGCCTGGAGTGCAGTGGCCTGATCTTGGCTCACCACAACCTCTGCCTCCCAGGTTGAAGTGATTCTCCTGCCTCAGCCTCCTGAGTAGCTGCGACTATAGGCATGTACCTCCACACCCAGCTAACTTTTATATTTTTAATAGAGATGGGTCTCAACCATGTTGGCTATGCTGGTCTCAAACTTCTGACCTCAAGTGATCCACCCACCTCACTCTCCCAAAGTGCTGGGATTACAGGGATGACCCACCACACCTGGCCTCATTTTATATTTAAAAATTAAAAATAAGCGAATCAGGCCAGGTGCGGTGGCACCTGCCTGTAATCCCAACACTTTGGGAGGCCAAAGTGGGCAGACCACTTGAGCCCAGGAGTTTGAAACCAGTCTGGGCAACATGGTGAAACCCCAGCTCTACTAAAAACACAAAAATTAGCTGAGAGTTGTGGCAGGTGCCCATAGTTCCACCTACTCAGGGGGCTGAGGGATCAGATGGCTTCAACCCGGGAGGCAGAGGTTGCAGTGAGCTTAGATGATGCCACTGCACTCCAGCCTAGGTGACAGAGATTCCATCTCAAAAAAAAAAAGGAAAAAAAATCAATATGGAATGCTCCTTTGCCACTTAGAATAATCAGGAAAGGTGACCCATGCTCTGTGCCTCTTGGAAATTTGAAACAAATCTCCTTGACCCAAAAAGTAACCTTTTCTTCCCCCATTGTACCCCAGGTTGAAAATAGATGACTTTACTGATGAACTCGATAAGCTACTGAAAGAAATAGAAGGCAGCAACCCGCAACTGACTATTGACACTGAGAATCAAGAGCCCTGGAAAAAAAGGCCTTCTTCTGGCTACTTCATTGTCTGAATCCCCCCACCCCAGAGTCATTCATTCTCAATGAAGCCAAGGATTTCCCAGGTGTCGGTGAACTGCCTGTGACTCCCCCCCACCTCGCCCCCACTCCTCGGGGAAATGAGTTGATTGCTGGGTTAGATGTTTTAGTCATGGTTCTGCCTCTGTTTTAGGTAGAACGTGCATATGTCCTTGACCTTGTTATGTATGATATATCTGTATCACGGGTATATGGAGAGAAATAAAGGTGAGAGCATTCACAAATGAAGCTGTTACTTAGTAATGGGCTTTGACAAGTTAGAGAAAAGATATCTTACTGGGGAGAACCTGGGGGGTAGGGGGAGGGACAGTGTTTAGTTGCACTGATTTCTGTTGCCTTGCCAATCTTTGACCTGGTATTTCCTTTTTTTTTTTCCCTTGAGATGGAGTCACACTCTATTGCCCAGGCTGGAGTGCAGTGGTGTGATTTCAACTCACTGCAACCTCCGCCTCCCAAGTTTAAGCAATTCTCCTGCCTCAGCCTCCATCTCCCAAGTAGCTGGGATTACAGACAGACAGCTAATTTTGTATTTTTAGTAGAGACAGGGTTTCATCATGTTGGCCAGTCTGGTCTTGAACTCCTGGCCTCAAGCAATCCACCTGCCTCAGCCTCCCCAGGTTGGGGAATTACAGACATGAGCTACCATGCCTGGCCTCCAGAGTGTGTTTATTCTCAGGTTCAGTGGGAGGAAGGGGGAAAGTTGGTAAAAGAGGCACAAAGTTTAAAAAGGACATTGCATGAAGAAACCAAAGGTTTCTCATTCTCCACACTATTAACATTCTGGGGCCAGATTACTGCTTGCTGGCAAACATGGTCCTGTACATTTATAGGGCGTTTGGCACCATCCCTAGCCTCCACTTACTAGATACCAGCATCCTCACAGTTATGACCAAAATGTCTCTGGGAATTAGAAAATATTTCCTGAAATGCAAAATTTCCTTAGGTTGAAAACCATTGTAATCTAGTCCCATCTTTAAGAGAAGAAACTGCGGCTAGGTGCGGTGGCTCATGCCTGTAATCCCAGCACTTCAGGAGGCTGAGGTGGGTGGATCATAAGGTCAGGAGTTCGAGACCAATGTAGCCAATATGGTGAAACCCCATCTCTACCAAAAATATAAAAAATTAGGGGGGCATAGTGGCGGGCGCCTGTAATCCCAGCTACTTGGGAGGCCGAGGTACAAGAAGGGGGAGGTTGCAGTGAACAGAGATCATGCCACTGTACTCCAGACTGGGCAAAAGAGTGAGCCCTCTCAAAAAAAAGAAATTGAGTAATGTATGTACATTCATTTAGGAACTGTATTGACACCCCAGGGGTCCAAAAAATGTAACCTTGCACTCATAACTAACCATCTTTCTCCAACGTGTGTATTTCATCTGGCCAACCTCCTGACAGGCAAGTACTGAAAACTGAAACAGGGCACATGGGTGAATCTGTAGGTGTTCAGAGATGAACACGTACTGCTGTCTTGTTTCTCACATCTCCTTACCTGTGACTACCTGCCTCTGCCCATCACTGAGTTCTGAAAATGTGGCCCCAGGATCACAGCAGCATTAGCACTTGCTTGCTCTGGATCTCATCACATTGATGATCAAGAACAAAGTATTCACTGGGGTCTCTGATAAGGATCCAAAAATCTATTCTGCAATCCCATGGCCACGTTTGCACCCAGGAAGCACAAGAGCTGGGTTAGCCCAGATAGTGGGCTTGGGAAATGTTCTGGAACAAAAAAAGCAGAGCCAGAGATCATGAGAGCCTGATCCCCTTCCCCAGCATACACACATACCCCTCTCTATCTCCAAGTCTCATTTTCGGGCTTCTCAAAGCTAAGGTCACTCCCATGAGTTAAGTCACACGTTGCTCAATCTGTAGCTGTTCCACAAGAATAGAACTCTCTCCTGTTCAAGATCCTCTGGCTCAGCTACAGCTGTGGCAGACAGACCTCGGTGAGGGTCATCTGTTTTCACAATCCCCAATCCCAGACCACATCCTGTGCCCCAGGACAACATCCATGGTAACCACATCCCTTCCTCTCTTGCTCATTCCTTGAGCCCTGACCCAGGCTTCTCCAGGCTTCCCCTTCTCACCCAGACAGGGCAGTGTAGATCAAGTAAATGTCATGCACTGTGCAAGTAAAGGCAGGAAGTGCACACCTGTAATCCCAGCACTTTGGGAGGCAGAGGCGGGTGGATCACATGAGATCAGGAGTTCAAGACCAGCCTGGTCAACATGGTGAACCCCATCTCTACTAAAAATACAAAATTTAGCTGAGTGTGGTGGTGCATGTCTGTAATCCCAGCTACTTGGGAGGCTGAGGCAGGAGAATCACTTGAACCCAGGAGGTGGAGGCTGCAGTGAGATGAGATAGTAACCGCCCAAGGGGTTCACCTTGCCCACTGCCTAGACAGAGCTGATTCATCACAACCAGGGAATCGCAATAGAGAAAGAATAATTCACGCAGAGCCAGCTGTGCGAGAGACCAGAGTTTTAGTGTCTCCGAGCATTCAGGGAACAGAGTTTTTGTTGTTTGTTTGTTTGGTTTTTTTTTTTAGACGGGTTTCGCTCTTGTTACCCAGGCTGGAGTGCAATGGTGCGATCTCGGCTCACCGCAACCTCCGCCTCCTGGGTTCAGGCAATGCTCCTGCCTCAGCCTCCTGAGTAGCTGGGATTACAGGCACGCACCACCATGCCCAGCTAAATTTTTTTTTGTAGTTTTAGTAGAGACGGGGTTTCACCATGTTGACCAGGATGGTCCTGATCTCTTGACCTCGTGATCCACCCGCCTCGACCTCCCAAAGTGCTGGGATTACAGGCGTGAGCCACCGCACCTGGCCTGGAACAGAGTTTTTAAGGATAACTTGATGGGTGGGTGGGAAGCCAGTGAGCCAGAAGTGCTGATTGGTCAGGGATGAAATCAGGCAGTTGATGCTATCTTCTTGCAATCAGTCAGTTCCTGGGTGGGGACCACAAGATCAGATGAGCCAGTTTATTCACCTCAGTGGTGTCAGCTGATCCACTAAGTGCAGGGTCTGAAAATTTTCTCAAGCACTGATCTTAGGAGCAGTTTAGGGAAGCCTCCAGCTGCATGACTCCTAAACCTGTTGGGGACAAGTTGCCTCAGAAAACCCTCTCCACAAGCTGACCCCCCACTGTGATTACTCTGCAGCTGCAATCCTGAACACCTATCTAGGTGCCACATCAAGGTTGCCAGATGGGCTACAATTAAGCAAAGGCCTGATTACAGCCATCTGGGCAGCTCAGGGGGAGGACAGGGAAAGCAAACGTTTGTTATCCATACTTGTAAATCCCTGTTTTACGCATATCTGTAAAATCTTGTTTTTGTAAAACTGCCACCACAAAAGTCACAGGATGATGTAAGTCTGTTACTACCTTGGTCCTGAAACTCCCTTATGTCCCTCTCCCCACATAAACCTCTCATTTTGTAAGCTCGGGGCTGCCTCCGCTAATTGTTACAGGGCAGCCCGGCAGGTAAATAAAACTTGCTTACCCGACTTTGGGTCTATTATCCTTTCTCTCGGTTAACCTTACAAAACCATAATTTCTAATCTTGTGGCTACTAGTCCTACAGAGGCAATCTAGTCCCCAAGCAAGAAAGAGGTCTGCTTTGGGAAAGGGCTATCGTCTTTGTTTAAACTATAGACTGTAAACGAAGTTTCTCCCCAAGTTAGTTCAGCCTACGCCCAGGAATGAAAAAGGACAGCTTGGAGGTTAGAAGCCAAATGGAATCAGTTAAGTTAAATCTCTTTCACTGACTCAGTCATAATTTTGCAAAGGCTGTTTCAAGATCGCACAACTGCACTCCAGCCTGGGCGACAGAGTGAGACCCTGTCAAAAAAAAAAAAAGCGGCAGGAAGTGACATCAAGACAGGAAGTAAAGTCAGCAGACAGGAAGTGGTGAGAGAAGACAGGAAGTGAGGTCTTACAGGAAGTCTGAAGACAGGAAGTGACGTCACACCAGACAGACGTATTATCAGAAGGCAGGCAGGAAGTGAAGTCAGAAGACCGGAAGTGGCTGGGGGAACTTGTCTTTCTTCTTTCCTCCTCAGCCCCAAGTGAAAAGGTAGCATCATCAGGTGTGCCATTTGAGTAGCTCGACCCAGCTCGGGCACCCACACCTCCCTTCAGCCCATCAGAGACCTCTCCACTAGCTTCTTTTGCGTTTTTCCTTCATTTTGGAGATGAAATTCCCAGATTGAATGGCTTCAATAACTATGGAAAGTGATTGACCAAGGTAAGTCACAACTACCTTGTTTTTTAATTTTTTTGTTGTTTGTTATCATGACTAATTAAGTGTTAGCCTTCTAGCACAAATAGCTTTGCATTTCCACTCTGTATTACTTGCATTTTTATTACTTTGTAATATTTGTAATGTGTTATTATAAAGCCGTGTTATTAGTTTGGATATTTTGAAGTTAAAAATGTAATTTTTTAACTGCAAAGCAGCCGTATGCAAAGCAGGTGTTTCAGAACTTTCCCCCGTCAATGTCTTCTCCCCTGAAGGAAACAATTTTGAGACTTTCTGTTGTTAATTCTGTTTAACAGCATACTTCTAAAAGAAAACGTGTATACTGTTATTATTTATTTGATTACAAAAATATACATGCATCTACTTTAAAAATTTCAATAGCACTAAAAGGGTATATGCAAAATGCAATCGCTAACCAACCATCTCTTCCATTGCTCTGCCTAACAGACACACCCACTTTTAGCTGTTTTGTCTTGTTAATATTAGGTTTCTAAAAATGTGTAACCATGTGAATAATGAGCTTAGACAAGATTCCTATCATAATAGGCGGGGACTTAGTTCTCCTACAGTGTTGTTCTTATTGTTTTTTCTCTTTCAATGTTTATGTCTGCATATCAGTATTCAATATCACATTTTTAAACTCACAGATATTCACAGCTGAGAATTTTCAGGTAATATAGCTTGCTTCCTTTATTTTTTTTTCTCCCCCTAAAGTTGATATTTGTCTTTTTCATTTTCATTTTCTTTTGAGGCAGAGCCTCACTCTGTCACCAGGCTTGAGAGCAGTGGTACAGTCATGGCTCACTGCAGCTTCAACCTCCCTGGGCTCAGGTGATCCCCATCCTCCCTGGGCTCAGGTGATCCCCATCCTCCCTGGGCTCAGGTGATCCCCATCCTCCCTGGGCTCAGGTGATCCCCATACTCCCTGGGTTCAGGTGATCCCCATCCTCAGTCTCCTGAGTACCTGAGAGTAGGCATGTGCTACGATACTCAGATAATTTTTGTGTTTTTTATATATGAGATGGTGTTTCACCATGTTGTCCAAGCTGGTGTGAAACTTCTGGGCTCAGGCGATCTCACCTCAGCCTCCCAAAGTGCGGAGATTACAGATGTGAGCCACCGTGCCCATGCTATACTTGTCTTTTTAAAATCTACTTAGTTTGCTTGACCACTATAATTATTTTTACTCTGTCTTCTAATAGCTTCTCAGTATGATTTTCCACTTGTTAAGACAAACAATTGACCCATTCTTACATTTGGAGTTTTCTCTAAGCAGCCTTCCCGTTCCCGCTTCACCTAAGCTGTGCGCTCACTAGACCTGATTCAAAGCTGTCATCCTGAAGCTTCTGTCTGCCATTCTTCTGTCTTTTCCCAAGTGATCCACCCACCTCAGCCTCCTAAAGTGCTGGGATTACAGGCATGAGCCACCATTCCCAGCCATTCTTTTCCTTTTTAAAAAAACTTTTTATCTTCTTTATTTTTAGTGGAGATGGGGTCTTACTATGTTGCCCAGACTAGTCGTGAACTCCTCGGCTTAAGTGATCCTCCTGCCTTGCCCTCCCAAAGTGCTAGGATGACAGACATGATCCACTGTACCTGGCCCAGTGGTATAGTTTTACACTCATTAGATGATCAAGAAATACCTAAATGCTATAATAAGTATAGAACCCTACTTTCAGAAGACATAACATTTCCTTCAGAAAGTAATTATGAGAGGGGTGGAGACGGTGCATTATCTTATTTTTTTATTTTAAAAATTTATACATAATTATACCTATTTATGGGGTAGGCAGCAATATTTCAATACATGTATACTGTGTGTTATGATCAGATGGGATAATTAGTATATTCATCGCTTTATTTTTTGAGACAAGATCTGGCCCTGTCACTCAGGCTGAAATGCAGTGGTGTGATCTCAACTCACTACAGCCTCTGCCTTCCAGACTCGAGCCATTCTCCCACCTCAGCTTCCTGAGTTGCTGGGACTACAGGCAGGCATCACCACACCCGGATAATTTTGTTTTGTTTTGTTTTGGTAGAAATGGGGTTTCACCATGTTGCACAGGCTGATCTTGTTTTCCAAAGTGAAGGAAAGCAATCGACATGCTAGTTTTAGACTAAGGAAAATGAATAACGTACCCAAACTGCCCGCAAGGCCCGTTCTGAGAAATGAAAGGAGATATGTTAGACTGCAGTGGAAGATGGAGTTAGGATGAAGGTTTCTGGGGAAAACCAGACGAGCACAGAGGGCCAAGGGGAAGCATGGGAGGGTTCTGCACAGAGGATGGAACAGAGTCAACCATGAGAGCTGGGAACGTTAGAGAGTCATCTGGAGCCCATATTACAGAAGGTTGAAGAAAGAGGCCAGTATATGGTCCAGCCAGGGTACCATGTGATCCACAGTGTGCAGGGAGGAGGCTGAGGTCTCCATGGATTCCTTCCATCCCAAATGGAGGGCATCCTTGGACAGAGAGCCAGATAGACACTAGCTGAACGGCTCCTGGATGGAACACCAGGAGGAGGCAGCATGGCCTCCTTTCCAAGCTGTAGCCTCCGCCCTCCTGATCCCACGCTTCACGTACGCCACAGTGTTTGAGTTGTGTCCCATGCCATGATCCATGCCTGGGGTTCACTGGTCATGAACAGAACCCATAGCTGTGAACATCTGGTCGACCTCCATCCTGACTCCCGTGTGATTTCTGGGGCTGTGGGAGGGGTGGGAGCGGCCTCTGCACAGCCCTGACCCTGTGCCGCGGGCGCTTCCTCCGGCTGTGCCAGTCCTCTGCCAGAAACCCCGCCAGGAGTATTAGGATCACAGCTCCGAGGCATATCCGGACCAGGTTGCCCTTGGTGTAGTACTGGCGGGAGGGACCTGGAGGAATGAGAAGAGGCAGGAGCAAGTGAAGAAGCCCACCTCCAGGACCCCCTCCAAGCCACATCTTGGGCTTCTCAGAGATCCTATGATTCTACCAGCTGGGATGCCATTCTCTTTCCTGGAGGGTTCCCCTCTCCCCAGTAGGAGTCAGGGTGAGATGACCCCATTTCTCTAAGTAGCACCTCTCCCTCATGTGCCATCACAGGGCTCTGAGACAACCCCTTCCCAGACACAGATGCTGCCTTGTTATCCAATGCATTCCAAAAGAGAAGACAGTTATGAGGGGTGGGGAAGAGATGGAATCTCTTTCTCTGACCCTTCAGAAAATCTCAACCTTCCCAGCTGATTTTAATGCCCAATTCTGAACCCCATACACTGATATTCTGCCTTCGCTCCACACGCTGGAACCCAAGATCTCAGAGCTGCACTTCCTGTATAAAGGAGTTGGCTTTGGGTGAAGAGACAGGTGAGAAGGGAGAGGGTCTGGAGAGGATGACTCACCAGCTGGAGAGCCTGACTCCTTTGGACTGGCGGTGATACTCCTAGAAGTCTCTGGGAACCAAAAAAAACGGCTAAGTGTGAAATGAAACCATATTCCCTCCCCCATCACTGTCCCTACCCTTAACACACACACTTGGGAGGCAGAATTCCTTATTTAGGAAGAGCATGGACTGGGCACAGTGGCTCACGCCTGTAATCCCAGCACTGTGGGAGGCTGAGGCAGGAGGAGGGCTTGAGTCCAAGAGTTCAAGACCAGCCTAAGCAACTTGGAAAAATCCTGTCTCTACAAAAAATACAAGAATTAGCCTGGCGTGGTGACACATGCTTATAATCCCAGCTACTCAGTGGGGGCTGAGTCAGGAAGATCACCTGAGCCCTGGGAGGTTGAGGCTGCAGTGAGCCAGGATGGCTCCACTGCACTCCAGCCTGGGAAACAGAGCAAGACTGCATCTCAGAAAAAAAAAAAAAAAAAAAAAAGCATGAACTAAAGAATCAGGCTGTCCAGATTTGAAACCCAAGGCTATCACTTATTATCAGCATCTGTGAGCCAGTTTTCCTATGTGTCCAATAAAATTAATGATATCCCTTATAGGTTGATGTGAAAGTCAAGATGATAATGGTAGTAAAATAAAGCATGGTGCTTGACATATAATGAACACCCAAACATGCCAGCTCTCTATTCCTCAAGTATCTCCTGAGATAAGCCAGGTACTCAGCCATGTGCTGGGCCTTGGGAACCCAAATATTAACAAGACACTGTCCATCTGCAGTTCCCAGACTATTGGAGGAGACCAAGAAGTAAAGCGATTTTTTTTGTTTTTGGTTTTTATGAATTGGAATCTCGCTCTGTCACCCAGGCTGGAGTGCAGTGGCGTGATCTCAGCTCACTGCAGCCTCCACCTCCTGGGTTCAAGTGTTTCTCCTGCCTCAGCCTCCCAAGTAGCTAGGATTATAGGCACCCGCCACCATGCCCAGCTAATTTTCTTATTTTTAGTAGAGACACAGTTTCACCATGTTGACCAGGCTTGTCTCTTCTGACCTCAGGTGATCCGCTGCGTTAGCCTCCCAAAGTGCTGGAATTTCAGGCATGAGCCACCGTGCCTGGCCTTTTTTTTTTTTTTTTTTTTTTTTTGAGATGGAGTCTCACTCTGTTGCCCAGGCTGAAGTGTAGTGGTGTGATCTTGGCTCACTGTAACCTCCACCTCCCGGGTTCAGGCAATTCTCCTGACTCAGCCTCCACAGTAGCTGGGATTACAGGGGTGTGCCACCACACACTGCTAGTTTTTGTATTTTTTTTCTTGAGATGGAGTCTTGCTCTGTTGCCCAGGCTGGAGTGTGGTGGCACAATCTTGTCTCACTCCAACCTTGGCCTCCTCGGTTCAAGCAACTCTCCTGCTTCAACCTCTCAAGTAGATGGGACTACACACACACACCACCATGCCCAGCTAATTTTTACATTTTTTGGTAGAGACGGGGTTTCACCATGTTGGCCAGGTTGGCCTTGAACTCCTGACCTCAGGTGATCTGCCCACCTCAGCCTCCCAAAGTGTTGGGATTACAGGCATGGGCCACCTGATCTTAATGCCCAATTCTTAACCCCCAGTCGAGATTTTTGTATTTTTAGCAGAGAATAGGTTTCACCATGCTGGCCAGACTGGTCTCGAACTCCTGACCTCAGGTGATCCGCCCACCTTGGCCTGTCAAAGTGCTGGGATGACAGGCAAAGTGATAAAAGTAATATACTGTGAAAACTGCTGTAATAGGCAGCCCACAAGACACTGAGCAAGAGCAGAGGGAACCACCAATGCAGACTGGGTGGTCAAGGGTTTCTTGAGGAATTGGTGCCATGGGGAAATGGAAGGAAAGGAAGAGCAAGTGGCTTGGGTGCAGAGTCAGGAGAGGATAGGAAGCCTCCAGGAGAGCTTTAAGTGACTGTGTGGCTGAGAACAGCACGGGGACTGCGTGGAAGGTATGCAGACAGGATTGGAGGGGTCAGCAGTGGCTGGATGTCTAAGCTCATGGAACAGCAAGCTGAACAATTGGAACTGCATCCTGAGGGTGACTGGGAGGTCCCGAACTGAAGATAGGGAGGGATCCCATCATAGGGTTAGAACCCTCTGGGATCAGGTGCCTCATGAAAGCCAAAGTCAGGTGGGCCCAGTGGAGATAGCTAGCCTATTATCAGGGAATCTGTGAAAGTGTTTATTAGTCTGGAAGGAAATCACACTTCCCAGGAAAAGCAAGGGGAAAGAAACTGCAGTGTGAGGAAAGCGTGTCCTCAGAGGACCGGAGTAATTAGAGGTACTATGTCCAGGCACCTATGGTCTGTGTGCGGCTAGAGTGTGGGCTCTACATGGACACAGTGAGGAGCAAGATTAGATTCTTAGATCACAGCCAAGTCAGAAGGCCTAGGACTTTATCCTGGGAGCAGTGCGTAGGGATGAGTAGCGGTCTTCCCATCACAGCCTTGCTCTGCCATCTTTGAAATGGCCCCATTGGCCAGGCACAGTGGCTCACACCTGTAATCCCAGCACTTTGGAAGGCCGAGGTGGGTGGATCACGAGATCAGAAGTTCGAGACCAGACTGGCCAATATAGTGAAACCCCATCTCTACTAAAAAATACAAAAATTAGCTGGGTGTGGTGGCTACTCAGGAGGCTGAGGAAGGAGAATTACTTGAACCCAGGAGATAGAGGTTGCAGTGAGCCGAGATCAGGCCACTGTACTCCAGCCTGGTTGACAGAGGGAGTCTCTGTCTCAAAAAAAAAAAAAAAGGAAGGAAGAAATGGCTCCATTACCCAAAATACTCCTCCTTCTGAACCCCAAAGCTCCACTCAACACCCATGCTCCATCCTCACACCAAGGACCTTCTTAGGAAGAGACAGACAGTGTGGTGAAGTGATGAAAAGCCTCTAGGCTTAGACAGTGGAAGAGAAAGCTCTGTCCTCATGCTCCTTTCTGCTGAGCATGCAATGCCTGGTTACTCACCAGTTGTGAAGACTTTGTTTGTGAGTGAGATGATCAGTTTACTGGTGGCCTCTGGGAATGCTAAGGAGAATTATAAGAAAGCAAAACAATGTTAAGTCTTTCCCGTGGCTCCCTATATCCCCTAGATACCCTTGTGAAATATCTAGGCTCCCTGAAACCCCTTTCTTTCCTACGGACACTGCACAGACACTGCAGACAGACAAATTCAAAAGGTGTAAGACTTATCTTCCATCAGTGGCTTAGTGAGATGCAGATCTGTTCATCAGTTGATGGACATTTGGGTTTTTTCCACGTTTTGCTATTATGAATTTTGCTGCTGTGACATTCACATACAAAGTTTTGTGTGAACACATGTTTTCTCTTCTCTTGGGTACACACCTAGGGGTGGTGGAATCACTGAGTCATATAGTAACTCTGTGTTTTACTTTTGAGGAACTACCAGACTGTTTTTCAAAGCAGCTACGCCATTTTATATTCCCACCAGCAACACAGGAAGGTTCTTACAAATCCTCACCAATACTTCTTGTTCGTTTGTTTTGTTTTAATCATAGCCATCCTAGTTGTCATGGTACATTTTTTTATTATACTTTAAGTATTGGGGTACATGTGCAGAACGTACAGGTTTGTTACATAGGTCTACGTGTGCCTTGGTGGTTTGCTGCATCCATCCCCCCCGCCCCCCGTCATTTACATTAGGTATTTCTCCTAATGTTATCCCTCTCCAATCCCTCCACCCCTTGCTATCCCTCCCCTACCCACCAAAACCCCCCGACAGGCTCCCAGTGCATGATGTTCCCCTCCCTGTGTCCATGTGTTCTCATTGTTCAACACCCACTTAGGAGTAAGAACATGCAGTGTTTGATTTTCTGTTCCTGGGTCAGTCCACTGAGAATGATGGTTTCCAGCTTGATCCATGTCCCTGAAAAGGACATGAACTCACCCTTGTTTATGGCTGCATAGTATTCCATGGTGCATATGTGCCACATTTTCCTTATCCAGTCTATCTTTGATTGGCATTTGGGTTGGTTCCAAGTCTTTGCTATTGTAAACAGTGCCACATTAAACATACATGTGCTTGTGTCTTTATAATACAATGTTTTGTAATCCTTTGGGAATATACCCAATAATGGGATTGCTGGGTCAAATGGTATTTCTATTTCTACAACCTTGAGGAATCACCACACTGTCTTTCACAATGGTTGAACTAATTTACACTGCCACAAACAGTGTAAAAGTGTTTCTATTTCTCCACATCCCTTCCAGCATCTGTTGTCTCCAGATTTTTTAATGATTGCCATTCTAACTGGCGTCAGATGGTATCTCAGTGTGGTTTTGATTTGCATTTCTCTAATGACCAGTGATGATGAGCTTTTTCTTCATATGTTTGTTGGCTGCATAAAAGTCTTTTAAAAAGTGTCTGTTTATATCCTTTGCCCACTTTTTGATGGGGTTGTTTGCTTTTTTCTTGTAAATTTGTTTAAGTTCTTTGTAGATTTTGGTTATTAGCCCTTTGTCACATGGGTAGATTGCAAAATTTTTTTCCCATTCTGTTGGTTGCCAGTTCACTCTAATGATAGTTTCTTTTGCTGTGCAGAAGCTCTTAAATTTAATTAGATGCCATTTGTCTATTTTGGCTTTTGTTGCCAACGCTTTTGGTGTTTTACTCATGAAGTCCTTGCCTATGCCTATGTCCTGAATGGTATTGCCTAGATTTTCTTCTAGAGTTTTTACAGTGTTAGGTCTTATGTTTAAATCTTTAATCCATTGGGAGTTAATTTTCATATAAGGTATAAGGAAGAGATCCAGTTTCAGCTTTATGCATATGGCTAGCCAGTTTTCCCAACACCGTTTATTAAATAGGGAATTCTTTCCCTATTGCTTGTTTTTGTCAGGTTTGTCAAAGATTAGATGGTTGTAGATATGTGGCGTTACTTCTGAGGCCTCTGTTCTGTTTTATTGGTCTATGTGTCTGTTTTGGTACCAGTACTATGCTGTTTTGATTACTGTAGCCTTGTAGTATAGTTTGAAGTCAGGTAGCATGATGCCTCCAGCTTTGTTTTGTTTGTTTGTTTGTTTAGAATTGTCTTAGCTCTGCAGGCTCTCTTTTGGTTCCAGATGAACTTTAAGGTGTTTTTTCGCATTCTGTGAAGAAGGTTAATGGTAGCTTGATGGGAGTAGCATTAAATCTATAAATTACTTTCAGCAGTATGGCCTTTTTTAAAATATATAATTATACTTTGCTCATAGCATTGTTGGGAGGATCAAAATAATTCACGTAAAGTAGTTAGAAGGTGCTGGCAGAAGAGGCTCTCAGTGAATGTTAACTATTATTCTTTTTTATTCTTTAGTTTTTAAAAAATATATGTATTTTATTGCGTTTTAGGTTTTGGGGTACATGTGAAGAACATGCAAGACTGTTGCATAAGTACATACATGGCTATGTGGTTTGCTGCCTTCCTCCCCATAATATTGATTCTTCCTAACCATGAACATGGAATGTTTTTCTATCTGTTTGTGTTCTCTCTCATTTCCTTGAGCAGTGGTTTGCAGTTCTCCTTGAAGAAGTCCTTCACATCCCTTGGTAGTTGTATTCCTAGGTATTTTACTTTCTTTGTAGCAATTGTGAATGTGAGTTCATTCATGATTTGGCTGTCTGTTATTGGTGTATAAGAATGCTTGTAATTTTTGCACATTGATTTTGTATCCTGAGACTTTGCTGAGGTTGCTTATCAGCTCAAGGAGATTTTGGGCTGAGAAGATGGGGTCTTCTAAATATACAATCATGTCATCTGCAAATAGAGACAATTTGACTTCCTCTTTTCCTAATTGAATACGCTTCATTTCTTTTTCTTGCCTGATTTCCCTGGCCAGAACTTCCAATACTATGTTGAATAGGAGGGATGAGAGAGGGCATCCTTGTCTTGTGCCAGTTTTCAAAGGAAATGCTTCCAGTTTTTGCCCATTCAGTATGATATTGGTCATGGGTTTGTCATAAATCACTCTTATTATTTTGAGATACGTTCCATCAATACCTAGTTTATTGAGAGTTTTTGTTTTTAACATAAAGGGCTGTTGAATTTTGTCAAAGGCCTTCTCTGCATCTATTGAGATAATCATGTGGTTTTTGTCTTTGGTTCTGTTTATGTGATAGATTACATTTATAGATTTGCATGTGTTGAAACAGCCTTGCATCCCAGGGATGAAGCCGACTTGATCGTGATGGATAAGCTTTTTGATGTGTTGTTGGATTGGGTTTGCCAGTAATTTGTTCAGGATTTTTGCATCATTGTTCATCGTGGATATTGGCCTGAAATTTTCTTTTTTCAGTTGTGTCTCTGCCAGGTTTTGGTATCAGGATGATGTTGGTCTCATTAAATGAGTTAGGGAGGATTCCCTCTTTTCGTATTGTTTGAAATAGTTTCAGAAGGAATTGTACCAGCTCCTCTTTGTACCTCTGGTAGAATTCAGCTGTGAATCTGTCTGGTCTCGGACTTTTTTTGGCTGGTAGGCTATTAATTGCTGCCTCAACTTCAGACCTTGTTATTGGTCTATTCAGGGATTCAGCTTCTTCCTGGCTTAGTCTTGGGAGGGTGTAAGTGTCCAGGAATTTATCCATTTCTTCTAGATTTACTGGTTTATATGCACAGAGGTGTTTGTAGTAATGTCTGATGGTAGTTTGTATTTCTGTGGAATCAGTGGTGATATCCCCTTTATCATTTTTTATTGCATCTATTCTATTCTTCTCTCTTTTCTTTTTTAATAGTCTGGCTAGAGGTTATCTGTTTTGTTGATCTTTTCAAAAACCAGCTCCTGGAGTTACTGGTTTTTTTGAAGAGTTTTTTTGTGTCTCTATCTCCTTCAGTTCTACTCTGAACTTAGTTATTTCTTGTCTTCTACTAGCTTTTGAATTTGTTTGATCTTGCTCCTCTAGCTCTTTTAATTGTGATGGTAGAGTGTCTATTTTAAATCTTTCGTCGCTTCTCATGTGGGCATTTAGTGCTATAAATTTCCCTCCAGACACAGCTTTAAATGTGTCCCAGGGATTCTGGTATGTTGCGTCTTCATTCTCATTGGTTTCTAAGAACATCTTTATTTCTGCCTTCATTTTGTTATTTGTCCAGTATTGATTCAGGAGCAGGTTGTTCAGTTTCTATGTAGTTGTGCGGTTTTGAGTGAGTTTCTTAATCCTGAGTTCTAATTTGATTGCACTGTGGTCTGAGAGACTGTTACGATTTCTGTTCTTTTGCATTTGCTGAGGAGTGATTTACTTCCAATTATGTGGTCAATTTTAGAGTAAGTGCAGTGTGGTGCTGAGAAAAATGTATATTCTATAGATTTGGGGTGGAGAGCTCTGTAGATGTCTATTAGGTCTGCTTGATCCAGATCTCAGTTCAAGTCCTAGATATGCTTGTTAATTTTCTGTCTTGTTAATCTGTCTAATATTGACAGTGGAGTGTTAAAGTCTCCCACTATTATTGTGCAGGAGTCTAAGTCTCTTTGTAGGTCATTAAGAACTTGCTTTATGTATCTGGGTGCTCCTGCATTGGGTGCATGTATATTTAGGTGAGTCAGCTCTTCTTGTTGCATTGATCCTTTTACCATTATATAATGCCCTTGTCTTTTTTTTTCTTTGTTGGTTTAAAGTCTTTTTATCAGAGACTAGTATTGCAATCCCTACTTTTTTTTGCTCTTCATTTGCTTGGTGAATCTTCCTCCGTCCCTTTATTTTGACTCTACATATGTCTTTGCATGTGAGATGGGTCTCCTGAATACTGCACACTGATGGCTCTTGACTTTTATCCAGTTTGCCAGTCTGTGTCTTTTGATCGGAGCATTTAGCGCATTTACATTTAAGGTTAAGATTATGTGTGAATTTGATCCTGCTGTTTTGATGCTAGCTGGTTGTTTTGCCCATTAGTTGGTGCAGTTTCTTCATAGTGTCGGTGTTCTTTACAATTTGTTTCTGCAGTGGCTGGTACTGGTTGCTCCTTTCCATGTTTAGTGCTTCATTTAGGACCTCTTGTAAGGCCTGTCTGGTGGTGACAAAAATCTCTCAGCAA